TACATAGTCCTGTGGTCGGGGAGGGGAAGTGCAAGTGGCCAGCAGGCCGCCCAGGTGGAGTCAACACACACGTCCTCACCACCATGGGCTAAGGGGTCCAGTGCAGTCAGTTCACCTGGAAGAGTGACTGGGGCCAGGACTCAGGCTAGGCTCTATACTTTACACACAGAAATACAAATCAGAGTGCCAATTCATCTGCGGGGTTCAGACCAAATCTGAAAGACTGCCGGCAGAGCTCAGCCTGGAGTAATGAGAATAGATGCCTCTGTGAGCCGCCACCAGTCAAGCTGCACCAAGTGCCCTGCCATGGTGTTTTTCTCAGCCAGGCAGATGTACTCATGCGGCAGGATGCCCTCTTGCCTGGAAATTGTTGGATGAATAAGGAAAACTGCCCAGCTTCCTAGCTTTTCAAGTCATGTCAGTCAGTCACCCAAAAGTATCGTGCCATGGCCATTTCCTAGATTATAGTTTCTCTCCTTTTTAGAGGCTTCTGGGTTGATGCCTTTCTTTAATGGTGAACTAGCCCAAGACATCCTTATGGAGACTGAGAAGTGTTCTTGGTCTGCCATTGGCCATACACTTGTACTGTAAGTTGACTGCCTAAGGGACTGTAACAAACTGGTCAACATACAGGGGTGGGCAACATAAGGAACTAGGCCTCCTGTGCTGATATGTATATGTGGTGCGTGGACCAATCAGTGAAAATTAGGTCACCTTAAGGAAGTGGTCAGCTATGGAGGTTTTACTGTATTTACAGTTTCTAGGTGGCTTATTTTCTGCAGATATTCTTACAGATGGCTAAAGGCGATCTTTTGAATTTTATAAACATCTGTATTACAGGGTGACATTTTTCTCATCTTTCCCTGGAATTGTGGAATGTACCTTTTTGGGACTTCCGAGCCTCATGTACTGACTACACAATCAGGACCATGGGGGTGTGTGTGTATATATATATGTGTGTGTGTATGTGTATGTGTATTTACATATCTAACATTAAATATAATTTATCTGTATACTAAAATTAGAAACACAAGTTCAGTGCTTTACTCTTCAATAAAAATGCCCTTAACAACTGTGAAACTGCCAAGTGGCCACATTCAAAGCAGCAACTAAAACCTCCAAAATATTATTTCCACCAAAAAAAAAAAAAA